AAACACTTCGGGGCCGTTGTCTTCTACTGATCTTCCTTTGTGCCTCTGCCTCTACCTGCACCAGATGTGAAATTAAATTTCACTGTACTCAGAAAAAAATGAATATGCAAAAGCCGACACAAACAACTCACAGGGAACAACTGACCTGGATACTAAAGTGTCTGTCTGCAAAAAGGATCTGAATAAACCCCGACACTGATTATTGATTAATACTGCACAAACATCAAAAGACTGCCTCAGGGAAGCCTCATGACTTCGAGGGAGATGAATTATCTAATTACTGCAAGTTTAACAGACTACAACTGAACATGCTGCTAAAGTAAACAAACAGGAGTAGATTAAAAAAAATGCTGCATAAATAACTGAATACACCTTTTAAGAACAGGTAACTGAACATTCAGCGCAACGAAGTGGCCAGGAGCTCTGCAAGCAGCCTTGTCAGGGACGAGGCAACTTTTCCAGTTTAACACCTTCTTTAAAAATTGGAGAAATGTTGCTTTCCCATCTGAGTTACTCTGTGCTTGTTGCTTCAGCTGAAGAGAGAAAGGAAGGCAGCCACGAAAACTGAGCTCCTAATTACCATCATCCTCCCTCTGATGTGGATGTGTCTGCTACAGCACTACATGTCTACGTGGCGGGTACAGAAGTCTTTATACATACGCACACAAACATCACAGATGGTTATAATTACTGATGGGCAAGCTGCAGTTCTAATTTGAAAGTAAGCAAAAATAGGTTATGTTGTCTCCCACCCCTCTTGGTCACCACACACAGCCACTGGACAACCCCGAGGCCAGTCTCTCCATCAGGGGAGGGTGGCCAAGGGACTGCCACACCTCACCCCACACGGCACACCTCTCTGGGCATAGGTACATGTTCTCCACCTAAACAAGACAGGCACGCGTCAAATCATCACCACTTCAAAGGGGAACGTGCCTACCTGGCACTTCAGAGCTTAATTCAAAAGGAAAAAAAAAAAAAATCAGATGTGCTTTGAAACTTCCTTGTTGCTTGAACTCAGGCAAACAAGGGTGGATCTGACACTGAAAACCTCCATCCTGACCTGCACAATGTATACTGCAGCTACTCCCAACCTGCCTCTCACCTCAGCAAAAGCTGCTCTCTAATTCTCTGCTCTGCTGAAATTCGCCCTCCTACATCAGTAACTAACCGCTGGCCACAGAGACAAGGCAACTGCAGCTCATCCCAGAGCCAGCTCAAACACTGTAATTTGTGCATCTTGCAGCACAACCCATGCTGTGTGGTTTATGGTGTCCTCTCCAAGGCTAAGCCAGTCTCCTCTGCAATGTGTACTTAACTGAAAGTAAACCAGAGTCAACAGCTTCAGGAACAACTCCTCTTTGAACAACAGCAAGGACAGCCAATGAAGCACTTCCTCTCCACATGCCCTGTGCTGGCCTTGCTTCAGAGGCATTCGCCTTCACAAAAGGCTCCATTTTCAAATGTGGGCACCTTCCACTTTTAGCACGAGCGTTTATCTTTCCATATGTTGCCAAGTACCAGCCTAGCATGCAAGCTAATCTGAGTGTTCAAAGACAGGCATTAAACCTTGTATCCCAATGTCTGGAATCTCCTGTATCAAGTTGTTCCTGATGGAGTAAAACAAGGGAGGAAATAACACCTCCCCCCCACTGAACTCCTGGACCGTATGATCGCTGCCATCCTTCCCTGGACAACAAAAGTGCTGATAGCCCAGAAGCACACTTGTAGATAAAAGCATTATTAATCAGTAAACCTGAAAAAGCACCAGAGAGGGGCCTGCTTTAAGTAATCAAGGAAGGGCTTTGACATCCCATGCTTCTTACAGCCCAAAAAGGGAAAGCACACACTCTTTAAGGGAATTCAGACAAAAAGTATCACAAGTAGATGTCAACAGACTTGACACTGATACAAAAAGATGGTGGCATGTAGACATCAACAATTTTTGCTATTCACCTTCTTACTAACAGCACAGATTCAGCTAAGAGCCTCAACTCAGTAAGTGCAGAGCCAGGCATCATTCAGGCTCTGAACATAGGCTGTATGCTAAATCAATATTGCTCCCTCACCAAGAAATACAGAAAACCCTCTGCTGACCTGTAATACCTGCAGCTGTTGGCAGCAGCAAAGTAAGTCATGGACACATTTGACAAAACTTGGCACCCATGGCAAATACCTTTATAATATTAATTAGTAAGTAGTGAAGAGCTTAGGAACACGGGGATGATTATATGAGACAAAAATGTTATTAAGTAAAGGAAGATTAAACTGAACTCAGACATCTGAAGATATTTACTTAAATACTTACTGCTGGAGTAACAGTTCCTCAAATGCATACACACAAGTTAGCAGTGGAAGGTTTGCATAAATAATTGTCTTGCTGAGACAGCAACTGTTTGAATTTCCTTTTGTTTCTTCTGTGTTTCTGAAATTATATACACTTGATACTACAATTCATTATATTGTACTTCACATAACTTGTGTGTCTGCAAAGAAGCAAGCCTCAAAACACACATCTTGATTCAAGTACACTGCTCATTAAGGGTACAGTCTTATTGCCACTGAGAAAACAAGCAAAAAACTGCCACACTTAAGAACCACACTAATATGCTTGTAATACTACAAGTATATAACTCAAAAAATGCCAGCATACACCTTTGCTTATCCTCTCCCCTGCTCAGAAAGTGGACAGGGAGGTGCACAGAGCTGAAGTAAAAAGGGACCTGTAAGATAAAAGCCAGGACACAGCAATTATATGGTGGTTAATGTTCAGGATGGCAAGAAGTCTTCCAAAGGAATGATTATATTAAGCTCAGAGTGGAGAGGGGCACATGCCTTTCCAATTTAACCCTAATGTGCAAGGGACAGACACCAAGGTGCCGGGGTGGATACAAGAGACAGTATGCCCACTACTCTGATGAAGCAATTCCTGGCCAAGACAGAGGACTTTTCAGAGGGAAGGGAGAAGGCAGATGTACAATCTGTGAAGTTTTGATTGCTCCTGGCATGAACTCCACTGGCTTCTAGTGTCCTGTACAAGAACTAGTCTTGTCTCAATACAGAATGGCCAGGAATCTGATCTCTTCAGCTGCAAGTACACCTTTGAAAATAGTAAAGTTAATGCACCTTTCAGTCCTTATTTTAACATCAAACATTAAAATACTATTAACTATTTAACACAGTTAAGAGATTTTGGCTTGAAAAGACAATGTTCTTTTTGCAATGGCAACACCTCTTCTTGCAACACAAGCCCATGTATCAATGAAGTTTCATAAAATTTTTCAAGCTATTTAATCAGCTTGCCTTGGAGTTTGTGCTCCTGAAGCCCTGTCCTGCTAAAACACTATCACTGGTACAGCAGGAGTGGAGTACTAATGAGGACTGAGAAAAGAAGATGCTTCTTACACAAAGGTCCTGGTTACATATGCAGGACAACACAGAGGCTTTCATGCGCATTTCAAAACACCTTTTTTCTGACCACCTTTCCAATAATTTTTCAGGTGAAGTGGACTTGTAGGAAGGAGTAAGCAGTGAAATTAGCAAAATTGAAAGTACAATGAGCATTCAGCAACAACTGAAGATCAGTCATCATTAACAGCACACAAACCTGTTTGTCTAGAAATGTACACCGCACTGAACACCAAGTATCAGAATACCCTAAACTTGCCTTGACAAGCTAAGAAATAAGCTAGGACATGTCTCTTCAGAATAAGGCTATTCTTTGCCTCTTCAAAAAAATCATCCCCTTCTACACACTTGCTTTTTAAAAGGGGAAAGTGTCCTCCATCTGAGTACATTTAATGGCTCAGAAAGCACTTTTTCTTTTGACTCACACTAAGCATTATTTTCTAATAACACTGGTAGAAAACTAAACTCTTCGTAAGCAGCTATTTTCCTCCATACACAGAGGATTGTTCATATATGGTGGCATTTCTTTTTCTGAAAGGAAAAATGGTTCATTTGAAGGAAAAAAAACCCACACATAAAAGCTTTCGGAAAGAGAATTACCTCAACATTTAGAATTCCTCATACTAGCCACTTTAAAAGTAATGTCAACGGAACAAAATTTCCTCGTGCCCCTTTTTGGTTTTTATCAAAGAAATTTCTAAACAGAGGGAAAGTTTATTTTTATGCTAAGATCTGTTCACATTTAAAAATAAATTAAACTTAATAGATGAAGCCTGGAATAAATTGTATATATGGCCAAATCTCAAGGCCCTAGAGAGGTGATGCAAACAAAAATTATTTTTGTTCAGCAATTATTAATTTAAAAAAACAACCAAACAAAAAAAAAATCTCCACCCAAAACTATCAACCACTGAAGAGTGAGATTACACAATCTATAAACAGCCACTATTCCTTGTATCTTTCTCACATTCAGTGTAGTTCTAGATTCAGAAAAGATTAATACCTAATCAGTTTAAGACTAACAAAAAAATCTAATCACAAAACCCTTCATTACAGAGCTGAGAAAAAAAAACCTTCTGTGTGGACCAATTCCTAGGTTTTGAAACCTTTAAAAATCTGCCTGTTCTCAATACACCCCAAATTCCAACTCTGTATTTAATGGCACGGGTCCTCAGCTTGACAATTTAATACTTTTTTTGTAATACTAAAAGGTGAAGGTGATCAGAATTGGATCTTGGCCTGATGGGATCTCAAATGGCAGTCTCAGACTAAATCCCACCACATTGTCCCTGGTGATGTACACAGCACATATTGTTGGGGCAGAGAGTCTAAAGGAGAAGAGAAACTTGAAAGCCCTTTACACAACCCTGCCAGGTATACAAGGGATTGCCTGGCCAGCCCGAGCTACCTTCTCCTTCCACTGTTGCTGGTGAGAAGTCACTAGGTGAGGCATGCTTCAGCTCTGTGTGGATACACAAAGAACTGGAGAACATTAGGAGGGGAGATACCACAGAACAGTAAAATGCACACAGCACTTCTACATTCAAAAACATTCCCTCTGGATATTTTTCTTAATTTTAGAAGAAACTTACATAGATTTTATCTTGCTGATATCGCTGAAATAAGTTGTGCATAATGGAGCCTTCGTGGAGATCTACAAGTGCTGCCATGTCTTCCACACTCTCTGCACTTGTTTGATGCATAGGCGTTACTTTTTGGTGTGTGATAGTGCTCTGCTTGTAAGTGAATACCTGAAAGAGGGGAAACAAAGAAAATATCAGAACACACATTCAAAAAATTAAATGGAGCTTTCATACCCATTCATATTCCCTATCCAGTTTATCAGTGTGCAGACTTGTAAAATATAATAGCCTGCCAGTCATACCTTCTTCTAAAGCGTCTCTGACAATAACTGAAGCCCCAAATACATACACAGGGGTCATATAAAACTAGCATATACTGCCAATGCACTGAGAACTGTAAGGGGTCTTTTCCACTTTAAGGGCAAATGTAATCTCATCTCAATCTGGACTGCTATTAGACTTCTTCAAGAGAAAAATAAACCAAGCAATAATTGTTCCCCAAAAATCCAAATCCAACCAAACAAAAATCCACCCCTTACAGTAAACCCAACATACACAAATTATTCTGTAAAGAAATGTTTTACAGGGCAAAACAACAAATGAAAATTATTGTTCCAACAGGCTGCAAGTATTTATATGTTTGAACTGAAATCCACTTAAATGTTTCCTTTCAATTCTCCGGTCAGGATGGCTGTCAGGTTAGATCATTATTCCTAATGCAAGTAGCGTGCCTAGTTCAGTGTGCTGCAAATATCTGTAAATGAATAGGCAAACCAATTTCTAGTGAATGGACTTTTGAGATGAATTTCTGAAGCTTGCTCCAAACAGACAGTAAAAGCTCTAAAAAAGCCACAATTTAAATACTCAGTCAGAAGGCACTTCCACAAATATGCTCAGAAGAGGTACATGTCCACAACCTAGTTAAACTTTAATGAATATTAATGACACCACTAAAAACTAAACCAATAGCTTTGGAATTCAGATTACCATTTCCTTTTTATTTACATCTTGGCAGCTCATCCTTACAGATATCTGCCTGCACCTCATAGCCGATACTACTCAGCCAATGTACCTGGGTCCCTTATAATGGCACTGTTTCAGTGTGAGAAAGTCAAGTGTGGGGTAATGCAAATACTTTAATGATTTTGAAAACCTTCCAAAAATCTTCTGAAATTTATTTCAATTTATATACAATTTCTATTTATAAAGAAGATGGAAGAAGCGCAATAACCAGCAGCCTGAGCGCTGGTGAGCACCAGTGAGAAAAAGAAGCCGAAGCAGCAAGAGTCTGAACACAGGCTGGACTTAATATCAAAGCTCTGTACTCTGATATCCCACCAGTTGACAAAGATGAGCTGTCTGATGATATTTGTTCATCAAAATTGTACCCCAGGCATCCCAAATGCTGGCACAGACCATGGCACTGTTACAGCTGTCACTCACACCAGCACAAAGTGTACTGGGGGATGGCTGAAACAAATCTCAAACAGATGCTGGAAGGCAACAGAGATGTCAACAGGATAGGTGAGCAAAACATCGGAAAGTTCCTATAAATTTGAAGTATCCAAAGCACAATCCCTAACTGTAGGAAAAAGACAGACACCAAGAGATCTGAGCCTTATTTTGTGGTACACAACCATCATGATGACAGGACAAGCATTTGCACAGGGCAGAGAGATGCTTTGCCCACTCAAACCCACTATTTTCTCTTCTTCAGGCTGGTTCTCATACTTCCACCTCTCACACACATTGCTTTCTTGTCTGGGTGAGGAAATGGCTCTGTGAGCTCACTCAAAGATTGGCGTGTGCACTGACTGGCTAGAAAACACACCAACTTTTCATGATGGCTGCCACCCAAATCAGAAAGGGGAAGGACTTCTTCTCCAATGCTGGAGAGTTACTTTTCCTTTACTTTTAATTCTTACCAGAGCCTCTTAGAGCACCCCTTAGAGTTCCTAAACCCGCTGTAAAACTTGGTCAAAATCATCTAACAAGATCAAAGTCATCAGCCAGGGCAGCAGGATCACATGCACAGACCTCATTTCCTTAAAATGGGCTTTTTACAGTCCTGCTGCTCAAGCCCTGACAGGCCTGTTTTGTTTTATTTCATCTTGATTCATGCCTTTATTAGGACAAAGGCGTGAAAAGGCTACCTTGAACTTTATCATTACTAATTAGACCATCACATCAGGAAATATTGCAGCAGTTGAAATCCTCAGGAAATAGGAACCAAAAGCCATTCTACAAAGTCAGCATGGACAAGAGGAAGACAAACGAGTCTTCTGAACTTAAACAGGAGCCTGTTGGCAGCATACAGGAGTGTCCATCCTCAAGGATCCTGCTAGCATTTCTGGAAGGTCAAGTAAAATACGCAGGAAACTTGGAATAAGATTTAAGACAAACCTAAATGAGAATTCAGCAAAAACTTCTTTCCTCTTAAGATGAAAATGGTCCAAGATAACAAACACGTTGAATACATGGAAACCTATAAATTAAACCCTAAAGAGACAGCACACAAAATAAGAACTCTCGAATTTATTATAGAAGTGAAAATTAGAGGTTGAGGTATGAAGGAGCAATGCAAGGGACAACAAGAAAAAGAACAAGCTAAGACAAAACAGCATAAATAGGCTAAACAACAGTAAAGAGCACTTCACTGGGAAAGGAGAACACCACTTCAAAACTGATCTCCTGTCCCTACTGCTGATGAACACGCTAAAAAGGTACTCAAATGAGGGAGCAACATGAAAAGCTGGGAGGCCCATGCCACCATGTTCCCAGGTAACATGGGAAAAAGCTGTGCAGGCACTACCACGCTCAAAAATAATGTAGGAGGGAACTATCAGATACCCAAATCTTAACAGCTTGCTGAAACTGAGAACCCACACTCGAAAGCTGGAGGAGTGCTGTTGTCTTGAAGAAAGCGAATACGACTAAAAGGAAGTAATCGCATGCTGCTGAATCAGATTTCTTTCTCTAGTCAAAAGGGAAAGATTGAAGAGACAGGTAAGTGAGGACAGGAATATCTGACTGAACATTAAGAATAGGGCAACATGCAGAAACTGTAAAACAAAACATACTGGTGTGGTTTTGACAGCCTGTTTCAAAACTTTGATGATACAATGCTACATCCTCATTCACATCTGTTCAGAAATCTACAGGATTACTAAATCAATTATGTTCTCTCCATAATTGGGTAAAATTCATCAGCCTTGCTGTGACGGGGACATATCCAGAGCAGTGTCAAGGTCTACCAGCCCAACAACCATGGTACTCATAGCACTTGCCAGATCTGCTTCAGGACACAATGTCAAGCCCTGAAATCTCTGAGAGCAAGATCCACATTGATACTTCCCAAAAATACCACTCAGATGAGAAAGAAGGACAATTAGAGCAAATGAATTCATCATCTCACAATGAGAACATTAGCATGGGACATGGGACCAAGGAAAAAGAAGTTAGGGGAAAATCCTCAACAGCACACCAGCATGTCCAGGATGTGGGCACAACTGCACTGCACGTATGGGACAGATTCCCATGTCACCCTCTGAAACATAGTCCAGATCTCCAGCCACTGCTGCAGGAACTGCCTTCTCTTTGCAGAAAATGCCAGTCAAGACACTCTCTAATGCACTGTATGAACCTGGAGAATTCAGACTGAGATTAAAGTTGAGACTGCAGATGAGCAGTAATTGGGTAATTGGGTTTTTGGCAGTTGCTGTATCATGAAGGGGTTTGCTCTGAAGCAGAAGTGTCATATGTAAATAAATAAATAATTTCATACGGGACTCTACTTGGAAAAATCAACAAACCCTAAATCACATACCAAGTCAAAGACATATAAAGAAAAATGATAGCTTGAACAAGTAAATGCATAGTTTTCACCTTTTCATGAACACTGCTGCATAAGTAGTGCAATATTGTACTCCAAAATGTACAAGTATTTCTTAGGCAACTCTGTATCTTTATATTTGGTTCAGAAAAGCATTTTTTTGAATGCCATGCAATTTGGAATAACTAGTACTTTATATGAACATATGCTTTTAAAATTGACCAGTGAGCATGTAAAGAAAACAACCCACAAACAAATCAGGAGTTGAGGCACACGACTGCAATTAAATTAATTTCACCGATGCTTTTAAAAGAGCATGAAAACCACCGGCATGAAAATCCTAATATTCCCCACTTCTTTATGTTGAAAATTACATTCTTATCCTATGCAACCAATCCGGCATGAGAAAAAGAAAAGAAGTCCTTCAAGCGTTTTATTTAAGGGGAGTATCACAAAACAATGTCTAATTAATTTTTTGCACTGACAAATTATCCCATAGCTCAAGATCTAAGAATTATATTTTAACAAAAGATTTAGTTTGTAATACAATTTATTAACACCAGGAAAGAATGACAGAGTGGGCCTTCAACAACAGGAGCACACAATGCTTTCTCTTACAGCATCATTTTCTGACATGATGACAAGTGACAAAAATCCCTACTTGAATAAGGTCATTAAAAGGTAACAAGAGATACCACAACAGCTGAGTCAAGTGAGTTTAGGAGAATGCTGAATTAAGTCTTTAGGTAAAGCATATCAAAAGCCCACACAATTCCCACTTCTTGCAGAAGCCACAAGTCACACTCAGGCCTTCCAGTCTGCTTGGAGCCCATACACAACTGAATCTCTCGGGGGGTTTTCACAGGAAGGCTTTGGTCTGATGCTGATAATCCATACTGGATGGGAGGAAGGCAGAAGATACTCCAAAAGTCTCCTGATCATCAATTTGGTATTTGAATTACAATAATCTTCATTATCTCAATGACATTCCATGAGATTTTTATTTAAACGCAGAAATAGGCTTGTCTGCATCTTGGAAGCTCTGACCCAAAGTAGATAACTACTGAATCTGCTCTCTGAAAATATGCAAGATTGTCTACTGAGAAGTTTACATATTGTGAGCATTTTAGGGCAGCCCCTTCTACACAGTGACCTGAACACTCACCCCTCCCAAACACAACTCCCAAACAGTGCAGGCTCAGGTCTCTTTCTTTAATTCAAAGATTGAGATTTGGGTTTGAGGACGGGGTGACAGTGGGCACTGGCTCCTCACTGCTGCTGCCTCCAGACAGGAAGGAGAGGCCTGCCCATGGCCTCGAGCTGGACTATTCCTCAT